GCTAATTTTTGTATTGTAAGTGGAGACAGGGTTTCACCATGTTGACCGGGCTGGTCTCAGACCCCTGACTTCAAGTGATCTGCCTGCCTCGGCCTCCCAAAGTGCTGGGATTACAGGCATAAGCAACTGCACCTGGCCTAAAAATATCCATCCCTAACCTTTCTAAAGAGTCTCGTGGGAATCCCTGGGTTTCCCAGGGAAATCCAGCAGCCAGGCCCAGGAAGCCTGGGGCCTGCCGGGAGTACAGTGAGCAGCACAGGCCCAAGGATAGGTGGCCCTAAGGCAAGACAAAGATGTCAAGAAGGTCCTGGAACTCTGCCTCCTACCCCTCCCAGGCAGAAACTTAACTCCTAGGGGATAATGCCGCCACCTTTGCTTTCTAGAACTGTTTATAAGGTACAACTTGACTATTTAAAAATATTTTTAAGAAAATTTGTTTTGCCAGAATTAAGAAAATTTGTAATCCCAGAACTTTGGGAGGCTGAGGCTGAAGGATCACTTAAGGCCAGGAGTTCAAGACCAGCCTGGGCACAAAGCTAGACCTTGTCTCTAATTAAATAAATAAATAGTCCGGATACAGTGGCTCATGCCTGTAATCCCAGCATTTTGGGAGGCTGAGACAGGTGGATTGCCTGGGGTTAGGAGTTCAAGACCAGTTTGGCCAACACAGTGAAACCTCACCTCTGCTAAAAATACAATTAGCCAGGTGTGGTGGTGGGCATCTATAATCCCAGCTACTAGGGAGGCTGAGGCAGGAGAATCGCTTAAACTTGGGAGGGGGAGATTGCAGTGAGCTGAGATCACGCCATTGCACTCCAGCCTGGGCAACAAGAGTGAAACTCCACCTAAAAAAGTTTTTTTAAAAAAGTAGCCTGGTGTGGTGACACGTGCCTGTAGTACCAGCTACTCAGGAAGCTGAGATAGGAGGATTGAGCCTGGGAAACTGAGGCTCCAGTGAGCCGAGATTGTGCTACTGTATTCCAGCCTGGGTGCCAGAATGAGACTCTGTCTCAAAAAATGTAAATAAATAAATAAAATAAAGCAAAATTTAAAATATGAAAAAAGAAAATTTGTTTGTATGTTGAAAAACTAATACATGAGCACAGTGAAAAGCTCACTCCATACGAAATCAAGCCCCCACTTCCTCTGGGTCCGCCTCTGCAAAGCAACTGCTGTTAGCAAACTCTCTTTCCAGGAATGTTTATGTATATCCAGATATTCATGGAGAAGTATACATATTCCACCACCACCACCACCCTCTACTAATGCTATAATTCTATTTTGTGCCTTGTTTTTTCCACTTAACTGTATATTTTGTCATGTTTCCCTAGCAGCACAGGTGCAGTGATCTCACTCTGGAAACATGGTATCCACTGTACCACTAACTCCTAATAAGAGACCTTACATCATCTCCAGACTTTTTTTTTTTTTTTGAGACAGAGTCTCATTCTGTCTCCAGGCTTGAGTGCAGTGATGCTATCTCGGCTCACTGCAATCTCCACCTCCCGGGTTCAAGCGATTCTCCTGCCTCAGCCTCTTGAGTAGCTGGGACTAGAGGCGCATGCCACCACACCCAGCTAATTTTTGTATTTTTAGTAAAGACGGGGTTTTACCATATTGGCCAGGCTGGTCTCAGCCTCCTGACCTCGTGATCCAACCACATTGGCCCCCCAAAGTGCTGGGATTACAGGTGTGACTTTCCGGAGGCTGGTGAATATGGCCTTAAAGACAACTTGACTGAGCTACAGTGTGTTGGGAAAAAAAAGCCTAGTTACCCAAAGTACACTGATCTTTTTGTTACCTTTGGGAAAGAAAATTGATTCTCTTGTAGGATTCCAAAAAAAATGTCCATTTCTTTTTTTGAGACGGACTCTCTGTTGCCCAGGCTGGAGTGCAGTGGCCCTTCTCTAGACTTTTTAAAGCAGTCTAGCTAAGACCCCCCAGATGGGGCAAAGAATGCTTTTACCCACATTTGGGAGTATATCTCTAGGATCCATTACCACATGTAAGTCAAAGAACATGTCTATTTTGATCTTTGAGAGTTATTGCTAACGAATTGTAATCTTAGAATCGTAGCTGGGAGGGACTTTATGGATTACCTAATATAATTTTATTTCTCCCCATTGTCCTTAGAACCTTAGAGCTCCACAGCAGCTGCCTTGACCAGGGGTTAATGGAAAAGGAAGAGGACAGGAAAGGGAGTGAGAGAGGGCAAAGCTGCAGGGCCTCTCTATGCCCGGCCCTGACTCCATTAGGACAGTTTTATATGATTAGTTTCCATGCTTTTCTTGGGGAAAGACAGCTGGTACTCAACAGCAGCAGCAAACACATACCACTGATCTCATTTCACAGCCAGAGAAACTGAGGCCCACAGAACACACAGAGTAGAACCGAGACTCACTCGAGGTCCAGTTTCAGCTCCATGTCATTTATCATGCTTCAGGGTTCATCTACTTTCCCCTTGAATGCTTCCTATTTTAGGGAGCTCACTACCCCTGGGGGTAGCCTATGCAATTGGAGCGGCTTTAGCTTCTGCGTTTTGTTTAGGAAGAGCTTGCCTCCCGGAAGTGTTCAGTCAGTGCAGCTGCCACACTGCTAGGAGGCTTTGAACAGCAGAGCCTCTCCCTTATGAGTTGGAAGGTCACCTTTGCTGATTGCCTGTCAACCAAATGGGCCTTCAGACATCCTTAACTGGTTCAGGAATTCCTGTCTGTGGAGGTTCTGAGTCAGGAGGCTTAGGGTGGAGCTCAGGTATCTGCACCGAAATCTCTAAGGAGGTACTTCTCAAAATACCTGTAGTCAAGGAATAGTTTGTTTTTTCTTTCTAAAAAAAATTTTCTTTTTTTTCTTTTAGTGAGAAACACACTCAAGAAAGGGGAGTACGGGTGTACTCAAGAGAGTGAGTCACTCCTCCAATATGTTTTGATTGCTACTTCTAAAAATATGATAAATATATTCCTAGATCGCTTCTCGGCCTTTTGGCTAAGATCAAGTGTAAAATATATTCCTAGAAAAACAAAATCGTATAAATACAGACAAAATATAAACCTTGCATCATGCCACTGCACTTGTACTCCAGCCTGGGGACAGAGCAAGACTCCAACTGAAAAAAAAAAAAAAAAAAAATATATATATATATATATATATATATACATACAGTTCTGGTTTTATCTTCTCCTGGAATAGTAAAGAGTTTGCAGACTGGCACTGGTCCAGGGATTACACTCTGAGCAACCCTGTTCAAGGTGACAGTGATGCAGACAGTAAAACACTAAGCTGTTAACCTGAAGTGACATAGAGGAGGAGCACTGAGCTGGGAGTTAAGGATCCAGGTTCTGATTTGGGTTCACTGTCTTGCTACAGGCGAGTCCTTTCCTGTCTCTGCATCTCAGCTTTCTCATTTGTAAAACAGTTGCTGATCACACTTGGGCAAACAGAGGACCTAAGGAAAAGGTAATAGAGTCTCCCCTGGAGAGCTAGGGGAATGGAGCCACACGCCAACATCCAATTGCATGCTAGAGAGCAATGTAATTGAAGAGACCTACCTTAAGAGAATGGGAATTTTAATGATGCAAGGAGGTGGGAGGGATGGAAGAGGTAGAAAGTTAGTTTGGAGGCATGAAGCATGATTGAGAAGGTAGATCTGAAGTGTTGACACAGCGAAGAGAACAGCTGAGTGTAGGCATGAAGGAGAAGGGGGGCCATACCACAGAGATGCACCCTGCGTGGAGGATGGCTGATTGGCTTTGATTTTAAATGGGATGGGAACCACCTGACCACTTCCCCAGCTCCCTAGATTCTGGCAGCTTCTTTATCTCTTTCTTCCTGCACTTATCAAAGTCAAAATTAAAATGCAGAGATGAATCTCTAAATTTAATGTTTTGGGGCAAAGGAAGACTTACAAATTTGGGGCATACACGCAGACTAAGTAGTCTTCATATGTCCAAGGAACAAAGAGAAGGTAGAAGGTTTTATAAAAAAGAGAAATGAGGCTGGGCATGGTGACTCATGCCTGTCATCCCAGTGCTTCCGGAAGCCCAAGGCAGGAGGATGACGTGGGCTCAGGAATTCGAGGCTGCAATGAGCCATGATTGCACCACTGCACTGCAGCCTGGGTGATAGAACAAGATCCTGTGTCTAAAGAAAAAAGAGAAATATTACTCTTTGAGAAAGTTCATCGACAGTAGTAAGGGTCTAGGGAGCTGGAAAGTTTTGACTGATGAGTGATGACAGTGGGTAAAATTAATCTTAGAGCTGCAGCAAGTTGTATCAGCAACTATCAGATAAAACTGGTTTTGAGTTACAGCAGGTAGTGTAAGTGCCAGGCATGCAGAGAATTATGCTCTGGGAACAAAGCTATGTGTCCTGAGTACTTTTTTGCCCCCTGGCTTCTCCACTCCCTTTTACTTGGGTATGACAAAAATGTCCCAATTTGTGTGATCAACTTTCACACACTCAACCTCCAGATCCTCTTGGAGAATTTCCTATCCCTCTTCCCAGCCTCAGATTCCAAACCCTGCCTGGTCACTGTGAGCTGGCTCCCAGGTGGGGCATGCTGAATCCTAAGAATCAGCAGAGGAGAGGGAGCACCAGAAGGCAGCCCAGGCACATCCTTGGAGGGAGTTATGGCCAGGCTTGACGCTTTCTGAAAATCATGGGGCAAAATATGTACAACTACTATATATCAATAAAAACATCAATTTATTAAAACAACAACAAAAACCACAGGGCATATGATGGTAAAAAAACAGTCTGTTTCATGAACTTACTCCTGTTGAACTTCTATTTGACTCTTAAAGGTACAATTTTTTGGCTGGGTGCAGTGGCTCATGCCTGTGATTCCAGCACTTTGGGAGGCCAAGGCAGGCGGATCACGAGGTCAGGAGTTTGAGACCAGCCTGGCCAATATGGTGAAACCCTCCCACTCTCAACTAAAACAACTACAAAAATTAGCTGGGTGTGGTGGTGTGCGCCTATAATCCCAGCTACTCAGGAGGCTGAGGCAGAATAATTGCTTGAACCTGGGAGGTGGAGGTTACAGTGAGCAGAGATCATGCCATTGCACTCCAGCCTGGGCAACAAAGCAAGACCCTTTCTTAAAAAAAAGGTATAATTTTTCTTTCTTTTGCCAGGAAATTAACTTTTACAAGGTCATTGACTACATCCTACATGGCAAAGAAGACATCAAAGTAATCCCGTAAGTTTTACCTGTCAAAAGACAAAATTATAACAAATTCAGGTTTAAGATCTCAGTTGGTTTTATTGGTGATTCTGGAATTGGGCAACATTTCATTCCTTAAGTGTTCTGATAAGGTTGGCTTTATAGACAGAGAAGGGCTGAAGAAAGCCAAGCAAAGGTCAAGGAACATGGTAGTCATTTTTAAGATACTTTTATAAGGTGGGAGAGGGAGTTAGAACAATGAAAACTAACTGATTAACTAATATCAGGTTACTGCTGCCTTTTTTTTTTTTTTTTTTTTTTCATAGCTACCTTTCTTATAAGGCAGGGACAGGGAGAAGATAGAACAATAGAAAAATAACTGATTAGTTAATACTAGGTTACTTCAAGCTGCTTTTTTGGTGTAAGGATTAAAGCAAAGGGACTTCATTATCATGCCTATTAAGGACTGGAACTAGTCTTTTTGGGGAATTGGCTTTTACCTCTCTCCCAATTGCTAAAAGGATCAGAAAACAACTTAGTTTAGGTTTGGTGAGGTGGAGCATTATCATGGGTGACTCCGTGTTGATTTTTAGTCTGATTTGTTGCAGCTTAGGGTAGAGCTTCGTCCAAAACAAGGGCCTCCTATAGTCTTTATTTTAACACATCACAAAACACGGAAAACTGCAGGTACATTATCAAATTCTGAAAGATACTCATTCCAAGATCAACACTGACCGAATCCAATGAGGCCCCACAGTTTGTTAGAGGCAGGGAGAGTGGGAAGGAGGCAGCATGAGATGGTAGAGAGACTCAGAGGGTAGGCAGTGAGCCCCAAGTAGGGGAAAGTCTTGATCAGAGCCTTGATGAGGGCCACAGTTGGCCAGAATGTGAGTCAGGTGCTCTGAGTTCCTGTCTCATATCCAGTGCCAATAAGTGGTTTGTCTGGACCTCAGGGTCCCATGTATAGAATGAGACTGGGATGAAATCAGGGATTTTCAACTTTTCTGCAGTGTTACTCTTCCAGTATATGAAGGAGGCAAAGCAAAAGCAGGAAGCTGCAAAGGAACTGACTCGGCCCCCACGGAAAGGCTGTTGTCAATGTGCTCTCATGTGTGACCGAGGAGGACAGTGAAAAGAAAAGGAAAGAATGCTCTCACTGCTGCGTCTATGTAGCTGGGACTCAACAACCATTCGAAGATTTGAACAGTTGCAAACTTTTTAAATATAGGCTTATACTTTCTTGGGTCAGTAGATGATTCTCAAAAACCTAGTTACCTTCTTCTCTGAATCCTTTCCATGTGCTAAGAGCCACATTCATGGTTCTGTCTTGAGACATGGCTCTTTCTCAACTTAATTGCTGAAGCCTTAAAGCTGTAATTAGGTTCTGTGGGAGGGCCATACCTTTAGTCTCGTCTCCCACGGCAATTTTGTCCAACAGAAGGGATTTACTGTATGCCACCTTAATCCTCAAAAAGTGGGTGCGATAGGCCATTCAATTTGGGCATGAGACCAAACTGTAATAATCCCGTCACCCAAATAAACAAGTTCTCAGGGTTATCTCTTACTGGTGAGGATGAGTAGTTGCCTCAAGTTCCTCAATTTCTGGGTTATCTCTATTTCTTTATTATTCCTGCCTGCATAAAGACTGATTCCCTTACTCTACTCTCTGTCTCTCTCTCTCTTTTTTTTTTTTTTTTTT